CTCAATCGAGGAAGGTCAGTAAAGACCTTAACGACAAGTTCAAAAGGGGTGAGCCATACAATCCCTGGCCGTTCAAGTTGTTGGGAAGCTTCCAGATGGTTTTAAACACGTTGAACACCTTCATCCAGCACGTACACGCAAGCACCAGTGGAATTGTAGCTTTGCGTGAAGTAAAAAAAAAATCATTCAGTAACGGTCCTCCTAAACTCCATCGGTCATATCCAGCGCACGCATCCTTCTCCTTTTCCATGATTGCGTTATAAATTAACGGCGCTTGCTGCAGCAAGAACGCTAAAACGCTAAATGGATCTGGAAACATGTACTCGGGTGTCCGTTCTTCTCCGTATCTTGCAACCTCGTTCGACAGGAACATCCCATCCGTCTTGCCTTGCGCTGGCAATGCGGAAGCAAAGTCGATCCTTGCGCTACAAGGAGATGGAGGACTGAGTCGTAATACCGACGTGATGTTTGAACATGCCAGAAATTTGTCAGAGCGCATGGAAGAAATTTTAACGAGACCCACAGTTCTATCGGAGCTCCAGACGCCCCTCAGTTTGGACAAGCGACGAGATCGAGCTCATATTATTGAGCGGTTTAACCCAGTGCTAGCATGATTGAAAGTGCTGGACATTCATCTTGAGTACCTTCGCACGGGGAGCGAGACTGCGTCAATTTCTCGCGCTTTCGGGTATCTGTACAATGCTCTCGTATCAGAAAAGTTTCTCAAACCTGTTCCCTTTTTCTTGGAGATTTACGACAAAATTATTTTCACACCGTCACACTCTGCTGCAGTTCTCGTGATGCTTACTACCGTACTTACCTAACGTGCGACCAAGAAAATGTCGGAAAAAAAGGTCGGACGAAACTCCGCTTACGCGAGGTTTCCCGACGTGGCGAGTCCTTGTTGAAGACGACACATCTGCACTTGGAAGAACGAGTATGGTGAAGATGCTGTACACGGCGGGCGCTGATTGTGTATTCGATTTATTCGAGACGCGGGTTC